ATGAGTTTTATCAGTTAAATTTTTTGGGAGGGGATAAACGAATAAATTTTGCTTAACGATTTACTATAACTACGATATGCTTAAAATATTTTCCAGATTTCAAAGCATTCGGTTTTGCAGTTTCAAAGTTATATTGCAAAATATTGTTAATCACTTTTTCCAAAAAATTCTGGATGTCTAGGATAAAAATTTTGGAGATGACGTCATCCCATTGCTGGTGGGGATGTTTAGCCAAATTTTAGTAAGTATTTAACCATCTACATGACATGCCTAATATAAATACAAAATTTTACAACTATCGGCTCAGTACTTTCGGAGATTATCTGTTTAATAAAAGTCGGGACAGACAGACAGACAGACAGAGAAACGACAGTCGAGAAAACGGAAAAGTAAGTAAAATAATACAACACGTGGGAAATCTTTAATTAAAATAAAATTTGCCAACAATTGGTCCAGTAGTTTCGGAGATTAATTGTCTAATAAAAATGGATACAGACACCAGACAGACAGACGGAAGCGGGAGATTACTTTTTTCGTAGTCTAGAGGTCATGACACGTCGAGAAAATATGAAAGTGGCAATTCGGCCGATGGACTCGATTACTATACTTCCTTAGCTTACGGTCGGAAAGTAAAAATAAGTATAAAATCACGTTTTATAGAATTCACGTTTTACAAAGTCTGATATTACATTCGCGATTCCATCCTTTTTAGCAACCTTTAATAGTTTTAAAAATGTTCTATAACAATTTTTTGTTCTCCTACTACTCATTTAAGTTTCTCTTTGTAACTTCTACCCTCACATAAAAAAGTTAAGTTTTAAAATAAATTATAAGGGAATTTTAACTTTTTTATTTATCCAGAGAAATTGATGAAACTGAAGATAACGGTGTAACTATTTAATAATGAATATTACAGAATTCTAAATGTAATTGATGCCAAAAAAATAATTTGACTGTTGGTGTAATATTTAAATCAGTCTTAAAAAATACAGGGTTTCTATGAATGATTACAGGGTCGAAGTAGGTCATGGATACGTGCCGCCTCTCAGATTTGGACTTTACTAAATGCACAAGGACGCATAACACAGACCACACGCATCTGTAACTGTGTTGAAAATGTTCACCATTTTGTTCAAGATACTTGTTCAGTCCCTTTTTCATTTCAAAAATGTTCTGTAATCCTTTCGTCAATACCCATTATTCAATTTCATGTTGCAACAGGAACTCCTGACTGCTGAAGAAATCTTGTCAAAGATGTTTACGGATTCTGCTCACGTTGTCTCAAATCATCAACAACTTCCTCAGATACTCCAGGTCTTCCAGGAGACTTATCTGTGTTGACACTGCCAGTTCGAACAAATCTGTTGATTACATTTCTAATGTGAGCTGCTAACGATGTTTCTTGAATTATTAAATTACGGTATTTGGCCAGATATTCTTGCTTACAAGCCGTTACAGAAAACACACACTCTTCGTTTACGAATGTCTCATTGCGATAATAAGAATAACAATGATCGTTCGTAGAATACCCGGAAAGTGGGAGGCGTGGGTTTGAATCCTACAGTGACTTTTTTACTTTTCATTTTTATTTTTCCTTATTTTTTTCCTATAAGTCAAAATAAAGCTATGTAAACTGTAAACTATAGGTAAAGAGGTATTAAATTTTTGGGAAAATAGGATGAATCGCTACCGCTAAACCATGACTGTGCTTATAGAGATTCGTATTATCTCTCTAGAGAACAAGACGGATTAAACAATAAAAATATAATAATAATAAACAAAACCAAGGTAAATTTATAAAACACAAATATTTTATAAAATTAAATGGTCCAGTAGTCTCGGGGATTATCTCGATCAGACGACAGACAGACAGTCGGCAACGGAGACCTATTTTTTCGTACTCTTGGACTCATAAAACGCCGAGAAAACATGAAAGTAACCAGTCGCTAGATGAACTCGATTTCTTTTCCACTTATGCTTCGGAACTAAGAATGTAAAAAAAAACTGTGTTAAACAAGGAAAGCTGCTGGAAAAAATAAAAAAACTTGTTTACACTATTCGTTTTCAAGTAGTATTTTGATTTGAATTCTTGCTCCATTATCACATCTGCAAAATCTTAAAACTGCTTGTCATAAACTCTCAATCTCAGCGTCATTTAAATGTATTCGTTACTGATGCGAAGTTAGTCCAGTCAAATTAGCGATCAACCTCGGAATGAGAGGTAATAAGCTGAATTTTCGTATATACCTTCATTTTAGCGTTCTAAAAGTTGTCTCAAAAGTCTCATAAAATCTCGTGTCTGCGTCGTAAGTTATTCAAGGTCAAAGGTGAAGAAAAACAGTTTTTTGCGATTATCTCGGTTTCTATTGCTCCAATTATGTTAACATCTATTATCGTAATTGTAGAGCATAAAATTTGGGACAAATTTTATTTGAAACATTTTTTCATGCGCTCAATCGTTTTTGAGATAGAGGGCAGTGAGCGCCCAGCGCTCATCCATACGTACTGTAATGCAATCAACCGTGAATATCTGTGAATACTACCTTTAATATGAATAATTTGTATTATTTATCAGTTAATACATTGCATTTAATAACATTTTACATATTTTCAATACATTCATTTAATGATAATGATACTTACCTACTTTGTGGAATTAAAAACTCTTTAAATGAAACACTTATTGTATGTATGTATATCTTAATTTATTGAAAGTAGATTTTAAGTAGAAAAATAACTAAGTACTTTATCTTTCAAATGTGTAACTTTTTATATATTAGATAATATATTAAACTTGTTATATTATTATATATCTAAAAGTTATATTAATTTTTTCAAAGTAAAAATTTAAGGAAGTAAAACGAGTTAATATATTTTAATTTTATCTTTGTTCAGTACCTGTACATTTCTTACGATTGAAATTGAATTGCAGTGAAAATCTAGAAATCTTTAATAATTTAAAGAACAAAAGTATTAATTTTCTTCTTCTTCACCGTCATCTTCTGGACGTTTGGGAATTTCTGTTTCATCGTCATCATCCTCGGTGCCCTGAATCGTTGTTTCCAGACCTTCCAGTTATAATCACGATAGAAAAATAAGTATTTAAAACCTTACACATTTTAAAGATATATGTAAATAAATTGAGATATACAATAAATATTTCATTAAATGCGTTTTTAATTACACAAAGTAGGTAAGTATTATTCAGTGAATATGTTGAAAATATGTAAAATGTTTAAATACAATGTATTAATTGATAAATAATATAAATTTTTCAAAATTCAAGGTAGTATTAATAGATATTCACGGTTGATTGCATTACAGTAAGTATGGATGAGCGCTGCGCGCTCACTGCCCTCTATCTCAAAAATGATTGAGCGCATGAAAAAATATGTCAAATAAAATTTGTCCCAAATTTTGTGCTCTACAATTATGATAATAGATGTTAATATCACTGGAGCAATAGAAACCGAGATAATCGCAAAAAACTATTTTTCTTCATCTTTGACCTTGAATAACTTACGACGCAGACACGAGATTTTATGAGACTTTTGACACAACTTTTAAAACGCCAAAATTAAGGTGTATACAAAAATTCAGCTTATTATCTCTCATTCCGAGATTGATCCCTTTTTTATCCTAAAATGACTGGACTAAGTGTGAAAAATACATCTAAACATTTCATTTCTTTTTTAAAACTCCATACAGAAAATTATTCTAACTAATAAATATTAATATTAAAGGCCTTCTACCCTAAAATTTTAAGTACGTTTTATTAAAAATTGTAAATACGTTTATCTGTTGAATTTACTTCAGTCTGTCTACTAAAAACCCGACGCTGGAACCACGGTAATGTTTGCTAAAAGATCCACAGACCAAAATATTCAAGATTTTTGCTTTCCTTTTTGCTGGTTTCGTTTAATATGTAATTAAGTTAATTTAGCGCAAATATATGTACAATTTCACTTGTACGGATAACTTTGCTGACACACCTGGTATTTTCAGACAAGAAAAATGTCATTACAAGCAATGTAGATTTATTGACATAAATATCTGACAAACATGTATCGCAAGAGATACACAGAATTTTTTTATGAAGAATTATTCAATCGAAATATTTTGACATATGTTTATGTTTGCTTTGTGAAATGTGAACGTAATTTCAAGTTACACGAAAATATCAATAAATATTTAAATAACGGCTGGTGTATGTTTAGAAATGCACACATATAAATAAAATAAACTATAGGAAGTCGGCGACGTATGAATACTTCCCTCCCAATCATTCTCTTTTTAATAGTGGAAGTTGTCGACCCGTGAAAAAAAATGAAATAACGGTTAAGAAAAATTTCCCGATTATTTATCTGTCATCATTTACGTAACAAAGTTACGCATAGTGTTACATTTTTATATTTCTGAGAATATGCTTATAAAAATAAACAGTAATAAAAAGTAAGATTTTTTTCATATTTCATACCAGTTTAATGTCATCCTTATGATGAAAAATTTCCTGTGCAAAAGTCGTAAACGTTTTCCGAAAAAAATCAAATAATTACCAATTAAACGTGCTGAAAACTGCTTCAGACTAATCATGATAAATGAGGGCATAAATTGATTTCACTGGTTTTCAGTCTGACGTCACTAACGTGTATGATATGCAACTGAAAACGTATTTATAGAGCTGATATGTGTACAAGAGAGTATGTTAATTTTAGATACAGATTGGCCATGTTTCCGTGCTAAATCGTCATTGGTCAAGTTAATTTTCAATTATTTGGCCAGACATTTTCAAGGCGATAACGGCATTTCGTCGTAGATATGACAGTCAATAAATGGCTTCTGAAATTCGGATAAAAAACTTCCAGTTGGTGGTGATTAGGTACATTACGACCCATAAAACTCACCCGTAAGAAACAGAACTACCGATAATTCGCACTCAGTTTTAATACTTTAAATAAATAAATACTGCGAGTTTTGTGCGTGCGAAATAAAGCACAATAAAAGCTACGAACATTTATTCTTTTTTTTTAATTTCTTCACGCAACATCTGCAATCGCAAGTCGCCTCGGCGATCTCATGTTTCTTCTTTTCTTCACCGTCGACAACAGGATTATCATTTTCTCCACTTTGGGGGTTACGAAGTGCCTCAGCTCCTCTCTTCAAATTCCGCTTTAAAATCTCGTACGCCGTTCTTCCAAAATTGTACTGATAATTTGTTAATGGTATGTAATTCCAACTCGGACGAATATAGCCAAAAACTACAAATCAAGAAACGACCGTGTTATAAAAGTTTTTCGCAACGTTATAAAAAGTCCGTCGGCTCGACTTGAAAACGTTATTAGGCCATCTGAAATACCCAACTGCATGTATAAATAGAAGCTCGGCTTTAATAAAATCCCCACATTATAACAGTATTACCAAGAACAAAATGTGCTTTTTCACTAGACCAGACTCCAAGACGACGTTGATGTTTCAGCACCACCTAACGATTTACAATTTCCTCGTAAAACAACAAACTGCTTTTTTGACACCTACAGCCCGCCATATTTCGTGGAAAATTAAAAACGCCAAAATATCGTATAAATCAGAGAAAATTCCTGCAAAGACATGCCTCGGGCATACACCTCACACGGTGACGTTCATATATCTTCTAGTGAAATAGTTAGTGATGGTTTGAGCTGGAGTTGGGCCAAACCCAAACCGTGGCAAATTTGGGGACTTTATCGTTCCAAAAATATTACCTTTCCTAGTTCCCGGCAATGGAGGAGAGATTTTCGACCGAGATTCAGGTTCGTATAGCTTCTGGCTGTACTCGAGGAGCTGATTCTCGAAAGAGCTTTCGATGGGCTCTCCGGTAAATTTTGCTACCACTAAAAAGGTATGGTCAAATTTGTGGTTTTAATTTGTGGAGGACTTACTGTCTTTGCAGTAGGATATTTGGTAAGTGCTAATCATCCGTTTGAGGTTAGTTTTCTTTATTCGGCGTAGCATATCCTCATCCTCCTAAAAATTATGATTATTTAATAAATTATGTTATTGAAAAAATACAAAAATACTAAAAAAACGTGTTACGGAACTTTCAAATTTATTTATTTTCTTCTATGAAATGGGCTCAAATTTGTATAATATTGTTTTGTAGCATTCTTACACCCATAAGAGTGAAAACATGTTTACCATATAAAGATTTAATCCACCCAAACTTTTTGAAAAACGCAAAAAAATTTAAACTAAGAATTTTTATTATAGGTATTTTATTGAACTGATGGATTTTCAAGTTTGGTTGACGTATTTTTTGGAAACAGTTTAATATTAAGTGTTTACTTAATTCCAATATATTCCAATATTCATCGAACAAATTTAAAAAAATATTCCAAAATTATTTGCACAGAAATTTCCGCGCCTCTGAAACTTAATTACTTAAAGAAGTCGAAACGTTGTATAAATGAATTTAATTTTTTGTTGTAACAACCCACATAAGTGTAGGTGATTTAACTAAAGAATTGTTTGTGAAATTTTCTTAATAAAATTTTGAGATGACGTCATCAGTTTTTGAGAAGGGGATAAACGAATACATTTTGGTTAACGATGTACCATGCTTACGATGACATAAGAAAGTTTCAAAGTTAAATTATTTATTTAAGTTAATTTTATTTATTTTTTAAATATGAATGTATAGGGTAAAATCTCAACACGGATTCATAAACCACAAGTGCAGAAGTATGTTACTTTATAAAATTTAATAACATGTACTATTGTAAATTTTCGAGACAACGTTATCCCGTTGTTGCTGGGGTGATCAAACAAATTTCAGACGACATATAAAATTTGATAACAAGCGGTTCAGTAGTTTCATTTTTAAATTTTTTGTGATACTATCAAATGAAGAAAATTATGGATAAATTATTGTGAATAAAAAAGGTACAAGCATTAAGTAGTGAATTAGTATTTGCTAAGATAAGATAGATTTTGGCAAATGACATACTCTCTAAGAAAATAGTGGGTGGGTGGGGGTGGGTCTAATACCAGCTAAGGTTAGACTAATTTTGGCAAATGACACTCTCTAAGAAAATAGAGGGCGGGTGGGCGGGGCTAGTACTTGCTAAGATCAGACTGAATAATATTAAAAGTAGTCACTAGAATGAAGAGCGGGTGGGTGGGCGGGGCCATTGCTTGCTCCTAAGTAGAGTCCGGATTTATATGCACAAAGTTTTCCCGAAGTTTTTTACATTTTTACAAAATATGCACTGTTTTCAAAGTGCTTTCTGCAATTTTTAACGTGATACAAAATGTATTTAGACTGATCCTAACAAGATAAATAAGATATTTATGGAATATTTAAATTGCTACTTTTTTACTTTTAGTTAGTTCCCACTCCCATTCTATAGAAGAATATAGATATAATTAACCCCGCCCGCCCACCCTCCTCCATTTCACTGATTAATTTTATCTGCTCTGAATGAAAGGTGGACCTTATACTGAACAGAAATAAAATTGGTCGTTAGAATGTGAAAAGGCCAGTTGGGCGAGGCTAGTACTTGCGAAGCTAAGTCTGATTTTGGCAAATGACATACCCTTTAGGAAAATAGAAGGTGGGTAGGCGGGGCTAGTACCTGCTAAGGTAAGACTGATGGAAAAAAAAAAAATTTGTTGACGAATAATTAGACCACAACTTCTTTATGTATCCATATACCTAATTTCAGTTTTCGCACATTCTAGCGATCCTGTATAAGAATTGACCTGACCTGAACTGACCTGACCTGATCTGATATGATCTGAGATTCTTTCGTATTCTATATATGGTCAAATATATAAGTAGGTACAAGAAAAATTCAAATTTTGAAACCCCATGTCTTGCTCATTTGGGCGCAAGCCTTTATTAAATTATTCGATGATAATGAGATAAACCACTTTTGATTTAATCAATAAAATGAAATACATACTCCATTTATTTATTTTTCAGACACCCTATATAAACTTAAAAAAAAAGTCTGCATGGAAGAACACTTTAAATATTTTTTTCCAAAAATTATTTTTATTTTGTTTATTAAATTTTTGAAATTAACGTCATATCTTCAAAATAAATCTAAAATTTTACAACAATCTATCCTATAGTTTCCGAGAATAATTGTTTAGTGAATCCGCCAACAGGAGACACAGAAACATACGACAGATAAACAGGAAAATATGAAATTAGACATTGGTTAAATGGATAAAAAATTGGTCGGAGAATACTTCGACAGAACTTCCCTCACCCATAAAACACAGCTTGTCAAATCCAGTTCTTTTGAAAAATTAAAAGATTTGATTTTGCAAATTTTATTGTTTTTTATGGCAACCATTATAAACTAAAATAAAAATACTAATGTTTGAGTAAACGTAAATAAAATAAATTCACGCATTCATTAATTTTTTTGAGACAGACTGTATAAGCAAATCCAAAAAATATGAACGGGTTGATAACTCACAATTATAGATTTTATAGATATAGATATTTTGAACATTTTAGACTTATTCGGTAAAATTTTGAGCTGACGTCATCAATTTTTTGGAGAGGATAAGCAAATATATTTTGATTAAAAATTTATCATGCTTATTATAACTTTAAAATATCTACAAGATTTCAGAGCATTCGGTTTCCAGATTCAAAATTAAATTGCAAAATGTTGTTTTAGAATTTTGATTTTTTTTTTTTGGACGTTTTGGGTAAAAATTCAACACAGGTAGGACTATGTTATTTTATACAATTTAAAACCCATAGTAATGTACAATCTTGAAGTGACCTCATCACATTATTGGTGGGAGTAATTAGACACATTTTGGTTAGCGTTTTACTATCTACATGATATTCCCAATACAAATACAAAATTTGACAACAATCGGCCCAGTACTTTCGGAGATGTGTCTAGTAAAAATTCGGGCCGGCAGACAGACGGATGGACGGACAGACAGACGAACAGACAGACAGACAAACGGAAATTCTATTTCTTCGTACTCTAGGAGGCATGAAAGGTCGTGAAAATGTAAAAGTAGAGAGTCGACCGACGTACTCGATTACAATACTTCCTTCGCTTACGTTTGGGAAATAAAATTTGGAAGATTTATATAAGTACATTAATTTACGCACACATTACAAAATATGTATTAAAATTATTTGTTTAAATTACTGTATTAAGTATTGTATATTTTACAATAAAAAATTTTGGAATTAAAAAACATCGAAACTTCCTAAACAAACATTTTAAGCTAAAACTTCAATTTTTATAAATCTTGTAAATGGTTAACGCGTTTTTTTATGTACATATTTTACATTATAAAATTACAAAAAATATATGAACTTATTTCAATTTTCGACATTGTTACTTTCTGAGTGTACGCAAGTACTGTAATAGGGTCCATCCAACGATTAGCTAGTTTCATGTTCTTTCGACGTTTCATAACCCCTTGAGTACGTCTCCCGTTTCCGTCTATCTACCTGTGTGGTGCCTGCAGATTTTTTTACAGCTAATCTCCGAATCTACTAAACAAAATTTGTGTAATCATATCCACCAACAACTTTATGACCTCACCTCAAAATTCTTTACATTAAATATTACTTAAATTTTCTAAAATAATCTACTCGTATATTTGCAGTTTATGAATCCGCCTTAATATTTAATCACAACTATTTTACAGAAGTGTTTGTGCAATATTTGTCGCGTGCGCCTTAATTCGAATCCTGTCGTTGCCGAAATTTATTTTTTCTAAGATATCGAATTTGTTTGAATATTTGACTTCACGTGCGATGAAAGTTCAGTCTAAATAACTTTCGACCAATTTTTTAATGTCAAGATTGTAAAGTACACGAAAAATAAAGCAGTGATTCACGTAGAAGATTATTGAGATAGATGGTGTACTTTTATTAAAAACAAATTATGGATTCTTTATTAAAAAACAAATATATAACAATAAGACTTTAAAAATACAGTGAATAGAACTAATTTTGATTTAATTTTGGCTTCTTTGTCTTTTAATAACACTGAAAAAACTAGAATGTTTTAAATTATTTGAAAATTTTAAACCATTTTCTGACTTTATGTGTTGTTCTGCGATTTGATATTTATTCTAATTCATCTTCCAAATTTGTGAGACAAGAAATTTATACTTTCTTAATGTTGATACAATATATTTAAATACGTATTTTTCATCAGCTTTTTTCAAAAAAAAATAATAAATAAATAAATGTAAAATAAATCTTTATTAATAACTATCTCTTGAGAGAGATTAGGTGAATTTCATTATTTTAAATTTTTGTAAGTTTCAGTGGTCTAAAAAATTATTCTAACAATTGATTTGTCGATACAATAGTTTTGGAAAATATGTAGTGAAAATAAAACAGAAATTATTAATTATTATTAATGCAATTTGTTCAATAAACAATAAAAAAATTACACTATTCAACAAAGGAATAATTTATGAACACGACACTTTGCAACTTGAGTCAAAAACGAGTGCTACAGTTTGTACACAAAAAAAATTGTCACACCTTACAACTATGCCCAAAATTTTGTTCTAATTGCTTTCTCAATCGATGAAAAGTGTTTATCTTGTATTCATTTTCTTTGTGTACCTAATTAATCTGCTTAAAATACACCGCGTGTAAGTGACCATCAAATCAAAGCAATTAAAACTGTTGGTTTTAAAAAGACTATCTTAAGGCTGCTGCGCGAATAAATTCAAAACAAAACGGATTTGTGAGGTGTAATTCGGCGATGGCTCTTTGTTTATTTTAAGTCCAGACAGCTAATTTCACAGAAAACGCACATTGTGTTACAGAGAAATTAGTCATTAAAGCAAGATGAACCTCATAAACGTTCGGGAAAATGAAATTCGGGTTAATACCTCAATTTTAAGAAACATTAAAGCTGAAATGAGTACGTCATTCTGAATAAAGAACTATCACTAATCGCATAGTTTCTAATTTAATAATAATTAAGTGCCTAAAAATACAATTAGTTCCGGTAGTGCGAACAGATTCAGGCTAAATCACGCAGAATTGGTCTAAACTGTAAACATTAGAAATTTGTTAAAGCTCGAACGGAATGGTTAAACAAAAATTGTGGTACCAAAACGCTTTCAGTGGTTTCAGGTTCTATCCAGATGTCTTCGGGGAGTTTAATCGACAAAAATTTTTCCACAGGTTTGCAGCTAAAATGTGAATAAAAATGATGGGAATGAATGTTTTATTCACTCACGAAGGCTCAACTTCTGGTTGGTTCCACCTGTAGTGGTTTCGGTAGGTAGAAATGTAGCACTGAGCCATTTTTACGAATAATTTCGCTGGACCCGAAATAGTTAGAACGAAACGTCATCAATTTACTGTCAAATTTTTAATTAATTAATAATGGGTACAGTCTGATAATTACATTCACTGTATAAAATTAAATTATACTTTTCACTTATCCTAATTGCTCATTCAATGGAGCTGAAATTAATAAATAATTTATTAAACTAGCGTTATGTACAGTTCAAATAACAGTATCAAATTAACCAAATTTTCTCTCTTTTACAAAAAGAATATATTCCACGGGTGCGGAGTTCCTCTTGATGGGGCTAAACGGTTTTTGGTATAACCTTTTCGCCATATATTTCCTTCCATAATTATTTACTGCTTCATATTTCTGGGATGGTCCTTCTTCGACGCCTGACCGCGCTGTAGCTAAAAGTAAATTGCTAAGATCCGCATGATTTTGCAACCCATATCCTTGATCATATCCTTGATTGTCAGCAGTTTCGATTTGATTTTCGGTCACTGGAATCTCTTGGCTGTATCCTGGGTACATTTGATTATCAAAGTCAGTTAAATCGTTGTTCTGATTTTGATACCCCATCATGTTAAAATCGTGTCCCCCATTTTCCAAATTTGTATTCTCAGAAACCGGAATTTCGTAGTCCACAGGAGGACGATACAACTGTGGGTTATGATGGAAGTTTGAAACTGTCATAGTACCATCATGGTTCAAATAAGTTGCCACTCCTCCGTTAACATTTGACAAACTTTGATCCAAAGAGTCGCCTATTGCATCATTGTAGTAGGTTTGGACATTCCTGTAGCCTTGATAACCGTGGGAATCGTATGTGTTCTTGTTTTGATATTGAGGTTGGTGGTGACTAGCAAGACTTTCTTGTCCGATGCTATTTAGGTTGTCGTAGTGTGATTGTTGGTAGTAATTAGGAATAGGATCGACTGGTGCTTGGTTGTACTGATAATTATTATTTTGTTGGAAACTATTCAGATTAGTTTGATCTTGGAGACTCCATGAACCAGAAGCTGGAACAGGAGATTGAGTTGAGAATTGACTAGGAGGATCTATTGGTTTACCATAAACCAAACTGGGTACTGCCGTTGGTTGGACTTTAGGTGAAGAAACTTGCTTGTAGGAATGCTTATTCAACACCGGAGCTGGTACTTCGTGAAGAGCTTGAGGTTTTTGATAATAATCCGATGGTATCTCTTTACTCAAGTGATGATAATTTAGAGGAGCTTGAGTTGACGTTTCCTGCGTCGGTTTTTTGAGAGAACTTTCACCACCTGAAGTTGCAGTGTTCTGACTTTGGTAGCTGCTTTGATAGCTACTTTGATAATTTTGTGGGCGCTGATAATTATGTTTGTACCCTCCAAGACTTTGCACCTGCGTTACAGGGTGCAACGTTGACTTATGTTGGTTGACCCCATACGAACTTGCACTTTGCTGGTAACCAGTAACTTTCGGACTAACATATTTTGATTTCAAACTTTGAAAAAGGCCGCCCACTCTTTGGTGCGGAATGCTATTTCCAGCGGGTGGTTGTGCATAACTAATCACTGAACTTGCTTGAGGTTGTAAAGCAAAATTTTTTCCTGGATTCATCTGTGGGGCTGGCTGAAGCGCCGGACGTTTAAAGTGGTTTTGGTTCATCAACTTGGTCAACCATGCGGTGTTAAGTGCAGCCAGCCTTTGCGGATCGGATTGCAGACGCAGTTCGTACATAGCGGGAACTCTCAACACCTCAACAATTCTTGTACCCGACGCCAATTTGGGGTCTTGTCTAACCACCGGTTTATGCTCCATATCGTTAACAGGTTTGCGCATTTCTGTCTTGTGTCGGATTCTTTTGTCTACCGCACGATGTCTATGAACTTTAGCCACATGAAAATTTTTTTCTTGTACCTCTGGACTCTTTTCGTGCACTTGATACACCGGTGATGGAAGGACTTCTTTAACAGTTTGACTTGGCTGAGAAATTTGATCTGGGTGTATGTGTGGACCGGTGTCATTTTCTTTTTGACCTTTGCGTTCTTGAAATCTGTATACTGGGAAAACTGTTGTGAAGGTGCTATTTTCCGAGTGAATGCCGTAACCTGCGCTAACGTTAACTTGTAGAGAGTCGTCAGTGGTGTTGTTTTGTTCGTTGACAAAACGTTTGACAATTTCGCCATCACAGTCTTTCAACACCAAAAGTAACAAGATCTGAAGAGAAAAGAAAACCTGAGAGTCGGACCGATATGGAATTTACGTACTTACAACTACTTGTTTCATGTTGAACTGTGCACTTCACTAAAACTAGAGCATAAATAAGCGCCATTCTCTAAAAACGCTGTTTTATAAGAGTGTATCTAATTTGTTGTATATAATTAAATCTTGTACTTTCTCGAGTTGATCTTCTTTCCGTTGTGGTTTTCGTCGCACAAAATTTCGGTTTTCCGCAATTAACATATTATCTTGAAAAACGATCGTGAAAGATTACAACGGCAAACAAAATATATATTTTTTTAAACATCACAGCACGTGTGCACTTAAATCTGAAAGTAAAATGAGTGTAATTGACTTTACAGTAACAACAATTATCTCGAGATTTAGCCTAATGTTTTTTTACATTCATTATCATTAGGTTACCTTGAGAATTTAATTCTATTATGTAAGTAAACTATATATTGTATGATTAACGAATTTTAAACAGAAATTCCAATAAGATGATTTATTTGCTCTCCAAAATAAATTTATTCATGTTTCAGTAATGCATTTCATATTTTACAGAATAATTTTTGTACGCATCTATTTACCTACCTTGACCACTAAATATTTAGACCGCAAAACTAGAGAAAGTAACGACAATTTATTATGCGTGCGTTTTGGATAAATTCAATTTTAATTTCATTAACGGAACCAAACTCTTCCCAGATGCTTGAATAATAATAAACGTCGTATTTCAGAATCTTTATTTCATAATTTAATTTTGTAGTTGAACAGCGAGATTTATAGTTAAAGAAAAACGAGAGTAACTCTTTTGTTTACAGTAATGTCGTAACTATCAATTTCGGATCTTACACAGATGTCGGCTCTCTTGTAACCACTCCCTTTTAAATCGCTGGAGGAATCCCGAACTTCCAAGATTATTCTGTGCCCGAAGTGTAGATTTAGTTCTGGAATGCAAGTTCTGGTTCCGTAGGGAATGTCGAGATTTTCGTCCATGGCTAAAGTAACAAAGTCGGCTCGGTTGTCCAAGTAGTCCTTCAAAAGTTATATTTAGTCCAATAGTTTCGAATGCCATCATTAACTAATATACTGACGTGGACAGATGAACGGAAACGGGAAACAGTTTCATATTCCACAGGTTTACAGTTGGAAAATAAAATTGTCTAAACATACCTGAAGAGTTCGTAGATTTTTCCCTTTTATGTCTAAGTATCCACTATCATGTTCGTCATCATTATAGTCGGGGTAATAAGCGGTAAGGGTAACATTTCTAATATTTTTACCCTTACACTCTAAATTAATTTCTATAAAAAAAAGTCAAAAAGTAAAACAATCATAACGTCATAAATCACATCTTACCATTATCAAAAAGAGTATTTATTGATAAAATTAGATTGAACAACACAAAGAGAATCAAATACATTTTATTATCACACATAAACACACAATAGACAAATACATTCACACCCACAATTATCGCACTTCAAGCACATTGCATCATAATTTCACATACACATGTCGCCATATCGTCGTCTTGAGGAAGGTAAAGGCTCAGCATATTGCTGACTGCTTTTAAGTAGACTTAGTCCCATTTTACTTATCGTGTCCTGGTATTCCGATCGCCCTATCAATGGTGTAAACCAGTCTGAAATAGATTGAGGTGCTAAAACAAAAATAAATTTTAAAATAGAAACGAAAATCACTCTCATCCTACTTATGCGACAAGTAACAGGAGGGCAAACATCAATTCTAGGTCTCTGGATCGCATAATGTCTGAAAGCCGTAGGGTCCCTGTAGCCATCCCTCAGCGTTATTGTCGGTCCATCAAACGGAAGTCCTACTCTTGTGTCAATAGCAGCCATCAGTTTTCGATATTGTTTCGATTCGAGACCCTTTTTGTTATAGTCGGCTTGATAGATCGTCATCATTTTGTCATCATAGGTGTCGCAAGGGTGGTCCAGGACTTCCCCTGCCAAAACTGTCATTTCTTTACCAACACACTCGAGTTCCTTATGCAACATTCGTTCTTTTTCCGCCAGCATTTTGTACCTTCCCATTTGAGGTTCGTATCGATGGGCATCGCAGTGACAAAAAGGTTCCACTAGTTTGACTACGTAAAAGTTGGCGGGTTTTGTAATGACTGGGGGTTGAGCTGGTCTAAAATCAAATTCATGCTTTGTGTAACACGATCTGGGTATGACTTACTTGGCGACCAGTGGGACAAAGCTTGGCCATTTGTAGTCCTTCCTATAGTTACTCATAAAAGTTTCCTTATCCACAGCCATGATTGGTTACTGTAATTTTGTACTGTAATTTTAACCAAGTTAGTGTTTGCTGCGCATCAGCATATTCAGAGACGATAATTTAGGCCGAAGAAGACCAAATAAGTATTTAACAAACAAATAACACACAAAATTTTGTGACAACCTTGTCAAAATCGTTACAAAATCCATTTTGGAGTGAGCAAATAGGGACAAATGACGACTAGATTATCCTTTTGGGTAAGGTGTGGTGAATTTTGTCTCTGATTATCATTTGGCCTAATCTGGAAATAGCGTCTTGGTATTCCGTAGCTCCTGCCGTCATTGTACCAAGTGGACCTCGGCAACTTCCGGCTTAAAAAATATCGTTATTTCGTGGTAGAGAAAAGTGAAGAGTCATACCACAATGACCACTCAAGCCTGCACCGCCTTCTTCTCTTGATTTTGCTTCCGATTTGCCACCACCCACTCTGTTGCTAATAACAGCAGGACGAAACGCAACTGATCTCTGGTTAGGTCTGCATGGATCTCCTGGTAGTTTAACGGGGGCAGAACATGGAGGTGCACCAACGACACCAGCTGCTCGTAAGAGTTCGTCGTAGGGTGCATCAGGGTATTCCTCTACAACAAAAACATTATAACAAAAGTCCTTTTTTGTTTGTTGTTAAGTACGCAGTTTGCAATAATCGACTTGATACGTTGTCCTGAGCCTATCTCTATTTATTCTTGAAATTAAGTCATCTGGAGGGGCGTTCTTCAAGCATTCGTATATAAATGGATATTTTTCTTTTAGTTTTACAAGATAGACGTTCGGTTGATTGTAACGACTAGTCTGAGACTCTGGACTAGCACCAGTTTTAACAGGATATATTTTGGGATCCAAAAGGGGACCCATAGGACCCAAACGACTCCATGCTATCTCGGATGTTTCAGGACCTGTTGCCTTGGGTTGTTCAATTTTAGGACATTGGCACTTGCATGCGTGTGCCTGATCTCCTGCTTCAGGAAATTCGGGAGAAATCCTAGAGTTGTATCTTTATAAAACATAATTTTGCAACATAATTTTACTTTATTCCGTATGCTCTGACGTAAGGCCATATGTAATCTTTCCTGTAAGTAGTCTGAAACTGATCAAGTACCATTGCAAATTTTAATAATAAAAAAAAACACGAAAAATAGATATTTATTTCACAAAAATTTTGACACTGGTTGGAGTGTTTTGACATTGCCTGTAACTAAGTTATTTTAGTGTGTTTCGTTTTATGAATTTTCTATTTTTGAGAGTTTTTCGTACATATTTTGTACAATGAAACCACCAAGTTTTCCGATATGACGTGAATATTCACTCACAGAAGGCGTAGCGTAGTCACCTAATATCGTCAAAAATTAGTAAATATGAAACAATATTTTCGAAATATTACCCGTTCCTATTTCTAAGTTGTCTGGACGAATTTTGGGTGCCTGTTTTTCGATTTTGCCCCCATGATAAAGTGCAAGATTCCCGTGGTAGGATTTATACGTTGTTAAACAAATTTCAGCATCATTGGGTAACGCTTTTAGCGTTTCGTGGCCTTTTGATGACTGCTCAAGATCGTTCTCTGGGAATGAAATTTAAAAATTGTAACTACACATTCACAAGTAAGTACAGTAAATTACCAATATCACAATAACTTGTCTGATATTCAGTTACAGTTCCTTTGGTTATTTTATTTCTTCTTATTATGTCTTTGTTAACAGGTTCTTGAAAATAGATGCGTGCAGGTTTTTCAAAATTTTTTTTGAACTGAAAAAGCAATGAAGTTGAAATTACCCACTCTCAGATCTTGTGCTGCAGAATGATTTATGTTTCAGTTGAAGTGTTGTAGATTTAAAGCAATATCAATTGATAAAAAGATTTATGTAACATCAAGTAGAATTGACTTTGAAATATTAGCTATATCGATCTTAAGTTTATTTGACTGTGTTTCGGTATTTAAATAGCACAACTGTGATTAATATTCATTAAGGAACCTTATTTATCGCTTACTGTCTACGCCACTGGTCGAACAGACAATAGAATATTTTAAACTAACACCTTCGTGAAATATTGTTCTACATTTTCATTCGGTGGAACAATATCACCATCTTCCAATGTTAAATATACTCTGTAGCTTTCTGCAATCGGATCCTCAAATTCCTGACGAGAAAACGGTTTGGGCACTCTTAAAAAAAGCTGTGAGGTAAAGGCGCGTTATACTAAAAAATTACCGTTTAAAGGGTTTCTCTACATAATCCTTTTGATAAGAGGTTATCAAATTGTACTTTTTTATATCAAAATTCATAATTTTCTTTAAAAAAATGTATATAAAACTGTCATAATCACAAAATAAAAAGTTTTGAAATGACATAGTGTGTTATACATTTAATGTTGGTAGCACTACATAAACATCCGCTTAGTGTTGTCAGCGATATGACATGCCTGATGTAAATGTCAGATCTGTCAGATAAAAGATGACAACACGTAGTCATACATATTTAAAAAATGTAAAAAATCTATAAAATGGCAAATCTACAAGAAGTACCAACGGAAGAACTTCTGTCGTTTCACGATTACCCAGCGGTGCATACTTCAACGGGTCCCCAAAACACTAGCGCACAATTAAATTTAACCCAAGACAGTTTTGAGAATTTCAGTCAACAAGAAGAAATAAGAGAACCTTTGGAAGACAATCCAACGAGTACGTAGCAGTTAACGCGAATACAATCACTAATTGTTCATTTTCAGATTCAGCTTCGGTGAAATCATTTTGGACTCTTGAGTATTATCAACAGTTTTTTGATGTAGATACGAAGGATGTAATCGATAGGATAGTGGCATCTGTTACACCAAAACGTGACAACACTTTAAAATACCATTTGCGTGATAAACCAGACCTATATGGACCGTTCTGGATCACAGTTACCTTAATATTTACCATAGCTATTAGTGGCAATATCGCCGACTATTTACATCATGCCAGCCCACAGTACCATTGGAAATACGATTTTCACTTGGTGTCATACGCTGCGACGGCAATTTACGTGTATGTTCTTTTAATTCCGTTTGCGCTGTGGGGTTTTTTGAAGTGGAGTTCGGATGTTAGTGATTTGGAGGGTTTAGAGAGCGGGACTACTCCAGGCGCTTTAGAATTGATTTGTATTTATGGATATTCTCTATTTATTTATATTCCGGTGTCAATTCTATGGTCCATCCAGATTAATTTGTTGCAATGGCTGCTTGTATTAATTGGCGCTTTAGTATCAGGTTCGGTGTTGTTGTTCACTTTACTCCCGGCTTTACGACTTTCACGGCATAAGTTCGTGTTAATGATTGGGATTATGTCTTGTCACTTGTTACTGGCTGCAGGTTTCATGTTATATTTCTTCCATGGACCTACTGGCAGTCCCGTTGTTGACACTCCCCATAATTCAACAAAAACATCATAAATGTATTTATAATCAACTTTATTGTAATACTAAATAATATATTACAAATATAATATTTATGTTTGATTTTTTCAAAACGTCTTCAAGATGTTATATAAGAAACCTTTGTTTACTCATCAAACGTAAATCAAGAAATTACTTTTTCAACCTAAAACTGCTATGGCGAAACCAACTATTTTATACGCTGCAGGTTAACAACTAGCAGTAAATCATAAACTGAAGTTACTAAAATTAAAGCAGTGATATGTCTTATTACAAAAATACATTCTTTACACGTAACACTAAATGACTTAAGCCAAGTTTGTCAAAGATTCCTTACAGCTTAGAAAACAAATATTTGGATGTATAAATTTGATCAACAGAAAGTCTCAACAGGGGATGCGGAAAGGCACAACTAAATCTTCCTTATGTTCAACTTTAATATCATTTATAGCGAGAGAAGCTTTCTCCAGTGCACCAGTTATCTGGAAAGTTGGTTATTAGTTACTTTCATTTTATACACTCTGTCATATTTTACCAAATTTCTGTCATCTGCATTAATTGAATCAGACTGCAAGATTTTGTCCGTCCAAGGTATGTCTTCAAGAAGACAATTCTTGAATCTATGTGTCAATTTATTCTTTTTACTCGCACAAACTTGTTGCACTCTAACATTGTACTGTTTCATTCTCTCCACGTACTCGTGCTGTTGCAAGTTGTGTGAATCTAGAGCAGCTACATCTATGACATTCCTAAAAAAACACAATATAAATTGTATTTGTGTTTATTTTTGACATACGTTGCAGTTTCTTGTAATATCCTATTAAGTGCAGATTGTTCATCAGTCTTTTTTGGGGCAGACTTGGAGTTATGACACAATACATCCTCACTGAAAGATAATAAGATGATAATGTATGAATTACAGGCGTTTTATACATACCTATTTACCCTTTGGATATTTGTGCTATTTGACACTGGATCTATTAAAAGATGAGTTCTCTCATTTGGTTCTCCAATCTGTAATCAAATTTACATATTTGTGTTTGTTGTAGTGATAATTAATTTAGTTTGTTTACCTGGGATGATCCATCATCTTTGCAAAATAAACTATAACAGCACCCCATTTTATATAATGTAACTAAAATAGTTTTGTGCAGAAAATTATCTCATGAAGAAATGACTAAATATCTACTTGTACCACTATTGTATTAGTATATTTGCGGGTTTTATTATTTACCATTAAAAAATGTCATTGTTGGGCACTGACATTTGACAGCAAGAACAAGAATGCATTACCAAACCTAAAAATAGAATAGAGCCAAAATCCCTACTTTACCGATAGCGTGTTGTATTTAAATTTAAATAGGTATGGTTAAATACCTATTGGAACAATTATTTTTAAAAAGTAATGCATTACAATTACTCATTATTCAGTAACAATAGTATTTCATTACAGTTACTTTTTAAAATTTGATAAAGACACAATTTTAGATATTTGTTGTATGAGTCCAAAGGGTTAAGAAAAATCGTATTAAAATGAAAAAAGCAGTGAGTGATTTATTTTACTAACGCATTTGTTACATATTCACATCAGTAAGTAAAATTTCAAATAAATATTTCACGCAAGAGAATTATATTCATAATTTAAATTTAATAACTGACATTCAAAATTCCTGTTGGGTTGAGCTACCTACCAGGCGCGTCCCCAGGTTGCGGAAAGGGGGAGTGTCCCCTCAAGGGGACCGTACCAGCATTGTCTGGGGAGGGCGGACATGCTCCCCCGGAACTAAACACTCCTGGGGATGGTGGAAGTCCGATCGGGATTTTTCCCATATATGTAGTATGTAGGTTAGGGCTGCGGCTCGTCTTGCCTGGACATGCCTTGGTGGTTGTCCCGTTAGACGGTCGCGAAGGTGGTTCAGAAAAGGCGGGCTGGAAATAAACGTGCCCTCCTGGGAATGAACCCCTGGCGTGGGATCGTCAAAACAGCCCCGCGTGTTTGTGCCGTGCGTGGAGACCTGTAAGGCGAGATGAAGGAATCCTGGAGGTTGAGCCCCCCCTTGGTGTAGTGTAGTCACCAAGGCTGGGCAACACGCCTCTTTGGCCTGGATTTTGCACCAAAACGGGAGGTCGAGACTAACCCATCTCAGATCAATCGGCTGTGTCGTCGGGTCAGACCGTCGACAAGGTGAATCCTTGGGGAAGTGTAGTCTGAGCATGGAGTAGCCTCACTTGTTGAGACTGCGTACTGCAGGATAAGCTTCCCTGGGGGCTATATCCTTCTGCTAGCCCTGGCGTCGAAATCTGATGTCCCCTTGTTGGACTTCGTGGTGGGTGCGGACGCAGAAGGACGAAATCAAAATCCAAGATTATGGATAAAAAACCTATTAAACTCACTGAGGAAGTGGCTTCAGTGCACCTCAAACTGAAAACCCAGTCACTGTGGGGTTGCAGCCTCCTAAGAGGAAGCGAATCTGCGGAGCTGAGATAAAATCCTCCTCCGGGATGGACACTTGCTGGACTCGACGTGATGACTTCATGAATAATCCCTGTTCCCGACGGTAGCCTCTATTTAAACAGCACGCAGTCCTTCTCGAAACGCCTACGTCACCGCTTCTGGACTGTGGCGGCACAATAACTCGTCGGTAAGCAGAGTAAAGATAAGTGTCCTTGTGGTGTAGTGGTCAGCATACCTGCCCGGAAAGCAAGGAGACGTGGGTGCGAATCCCACCGAGGCACAACATTTTTCTCTGCTTACCTACATTGGTGACCACCGACAGGCAGCACGCACGCACGCACGCGCAACATCCTTCTGCCACCGCCCTGTGCCCGCTGTGTTCGGGGTCCGCAGCACCGCCAGGGTTCGAACGATGAACGTAAGAGTGGCAGGAGCGACGCCAGCAACTATCTCCTTCGCACCCCAGCACGACCGCGCGCTGTGTCGCTGGGGGGGGAGTACTGTGGCGGCACAATAACTCGTCGGTAAGCAGAGTAAAGATAAGTGTCCTTGTGGTGTAGTGGTCAGCATACCTGCCCGGAAAGCAAGGAGACGTGGGTTCGAATCCCACCGAGGCACAACATTTTTACCTGCTTACCTACATGGACTTCTCCGAAATCCCCATTCGTGACTTCCGTTTCCAGGCGTTTCTTTAGCGCTCAGTCGTATTGAGGATGAATCATCACCGGCGTAATAAGACCAGAGAGTTCTCGACGGCCATAGGCGTCGCACTGAGGCGGCGTAAGGGTGTATTTCGTAACAAGAGTGAAGTCTTTCTCTACACCTCCTGTAGCGCAAAAGCAAAAGAGGATGAGGAGGCAGGAGAGCACCTCTAAAGAACATAGCTACAGGGAGGTAGCTGCAAGTCATCTCCGTGTAGCTGTGATTGTTGTACAGCATCCACTTGGTAAGCTGACTGCTGACCAGGTGTAGATGGTACAAAATGGCCTGATGGGAGCACTGGACAGACAACTTGAACAATGTCTGGCATCGGGAAGGCAAGCAGTCACTTTCAGGGGCATCAAGTACGCAGGGGAAATCCTAAGGATAACTTGTGAAGACGAGATGTCTCTGGAATGGCTAAAACAAACAGCGCGCTCTCTAATACCTTTGTGGGAAGGCGCACAACTTAACGTGGCTCCCTTGCCTGTGCCTACCAAGGCTGGTAAGGGCGACCATGTGGATACGGGGACCACCGGTGGATGCAGAGGTCGTACTTCGCCGCCTGGAGGGTCAGAACCAATGGGCTCGCGTTAAAAAATGGCTTCTTTTCCATAACGAGGCCAAACCCGAGGCTGCCTCTCCAGGCAACCTCTTTGTGTTTGGTCTTGGGATGGATGAGGCTAAAACAATCAGGGAGAGAGAGGGCAGAATCAACTATATGCTGTCCTCTTTCAACCTGAAACTTAAGGAGAACGAGGCGTCGACTCAGGAAGGGCAGACCTCTATGGAAGAGGCAGAAACTCCAAGGGATGAAGCCTCTACCAGTGGGAGCGGGCTCGTCTGAGACATAAGCCTCGTGTCTTCTAAGATAGGTATGAGATTTTTGGTTGCAGAGATGACGCTGCAGCAGATAAATTTGATCCAGATTAACCTACGACTGTTTTGTGTCGTCGCCTAGACAAGATGCAGAACACTACAGCGATAATCCAAGAAACATGAATAGTAAAATCCAGGATCGCGGGGTTGAGCAATTTAAATGGCACTGTTGTTCTAGCTACCACAATAGAATCTCCAAGGACATGTAGTTACATTCCCAGGAATATTAAAGCTGTCCTCCTACCTCAAGTCAGCTCTAGGGATGTGACTGCGGTAAATGTTAAGTGTAACACAGGAAGAGGCGAAAAGCAACTGGTAATAGCATCCGTGTACTTACCACTGGGAGCACATGAACCATGTCCAACATGGGAGCTGGCGAACTTGGTGAACCACTGTGACACCGGAGATATAAACATCATCATCGGCACCGATGCAAATGCCCACTGTCTGTTGTGGGAGAGCAAGGATACTAAGGATAGAGGAAGAGCACTAGCTGAATATCTTTTGGAAACAAATCTAGAGATTCTCAACCGAGGCTGCGAACCATCTTTCGTAACATCGCGTAGTCAGTCAGTAATAGATATTACACTGGCTACATGGGATATCTCACAATATATAATGGAATGGCACGTCTCTAAAGAGGTGTCACTGTCAGACCATAAATGGATTGTGTATACATTAAGATGTATAGTCATAGAGACAAAGACGTACAGGAACCCTAGGCTGACCAACTGGGCTTTATACAACGAAGAACTGGAAGACAGACTGGGGACCTTCGTACAGTCGATACCAATAGAATATAAATCGACAGAAGACAGAGAAAACGTTGACCATTATCAACGACTCTCTAATGTCAGCTTATGAGAAAAGCTAAGAAAGAAGGCCTGGGCAAAGGTACACCGAAGGCTCAGCCTGTTTCAATCGGGGCAAAGAAAACTTTTCGATAGCGCAAAAAACACTAAGAAAACTGAAGACTCGGAAGCTAAAGAGCACCGGAAAGAGTTTAAGAAAGAATTAAGAAAGAGGAAACGGGAAACGTGGAGATTCTTCTGCAGCGACATAACGTCGACTGCTTCGGCCACAAGACTCTCTTCCGAGAATTCTCTCGAAGGATTACACACATCAACCAGGTTTCCTAAGGACAGAGGATCGCACCTTTACAGCCACTTAAGAAGAGTCCGCAGAACTTTTACTGCAGATTATGTTTCCAGGCAGCACAAGGACTACCTCCCATTCCAAAAGGGATGTATCCAGCACTCAACCTTCCCCGAAGGACTGAGCGCTGGCGGCAAAGGTAGTCACGGAGGCAAGACTGGGCTGGGTAGTGAACAACTTTTCCCCATATAAATCTCCGGGAGTGGACGGTATCTATCCCGCTGTAACGGGCGATAAATTTACTTATTTTTGGAGATGTTGGTATGAATCAGAACAATCGTCATTGTCGTAAAAATCAAGGTTGTTCTTGTGAAACTTGGATTTTATGATTTCACACCATTCTAATCAAGGTTTATAATTTCACAGTTAAATATTGGCGCCGTTTGGCTGGACACGATGTCTTTGTCCAGTTTTATAATTTCATGGTTTAAATTTGTTAATTTTAACAAAAAGCACATTTTGCCACTAAAAATCTTCATATTACAGTTAATTAAGCCTAATTTGGTGGAAACACAAATACTTTTACGACTCCCCAAATAAACTGGTAACTTGTAAACAATTTTGCGAAAACAACTCCTTTGGAGGGGTCTTTACTTATAAAAGATCGAAGGATCCAAAAAAGACCAGAGTCCTCTAGCCAGTTGCCTGTTTAGTGTGTGTTTGTGTTGTGACACAAAGGGGTAAGTGTTAAAATCTCCAAAAATGTGCACGATTTCATGAAAAGTTCAAAGTTTTGTTTTTATTAATATTTTTAAAGTTCAATTTAATTTTGATAATAAATCGCCCTTTGTATTCTCGATTGGATAACGTTTTGAGATTTAGATCTATTTTTAAAGATTAATTTGCATTGAAATTATTAGTTAAACAGTTATATTGTTTGATGAACGCTGACCACGCAACTACTATAATGTTCCTTACCAAATTTTAGAGTTGTTACAAATTTTTGAGTTGTTACCAAATTTTTGAGTTGTTACAAATGTTTGAGTTGTTACCAAATTTTGAGTTATGGTACCAATTTTAAGTTTTGTTATATTTTGTTTTAGATTTTTTTTAAATATTTGTTTTATTATGCTTTCAAAGATTTAGTTTCAAAGTTATAAAGTTTTCTTGAATTTATTTAAAAATGTTTTAATACTGAAGTTCATTTTCTGATAATTATATTTGCATATTAAACTACACTACAATTTATTGTTATACCAAATTATTCTCATATGACTAAATCTCTTTTGTACATACTCATTTCTAAATTAAATATAATTATTCATTTAAGCAAAATGCATATACTTGAAGTAGTCCCTTTGTCCAGTCACTAGAATGTGTTACCATCATCACGAACCAGCCTACGAACAAATAAATAATATTTTCACTATATGTCGGGCACAAGGTCCACGACAAGAGTTTTACAGTTTTATATATAATAAATTAACAAAAGTTAATTTAATGAAAATCTCCCAAGCCCGTCACATATAGGAGAAAATTTGGCGCAGTCGGTAGGATAGGTTTTTGAACTGGATGTATATGCTTTTGTTTGTTTGAGAATTGTGCGTTCTAGAAAAATTGAAAAATTTAATTTTTAATATTTTATTCACTAATTGTTGAGAAATAATGTTGTTTAGAAAGAGAAAAGAAATGGTAAGGACTTTTGAGCGTTATTTTCGAGAATTTGTTTTTTGACTGGTAATACTTGAGTACGGACCTGGCGCGAACGATTTTAAGGACCATAATTAACCCATTAGCCACACTCCATTGTGACCGTGAATGCGTGCGGGATGTGTGGGATGGCTTAGGAGGTCAGATTGAACTATTTTACGATCGAGCGAAAAATGCGTAAAGTTTACTTCCTAAATACTTGCTTATGTAGGATTATTGCAATCGACGAAAATACTGAGTTACGTAGAAATTAAAATTTTTAAGCTAGCAAAATGTCAGTATCAAAGATACAGTTTAAAAAAGGGCGATTGAAAAATGTGATGGATAAGTGCATTATTTTCATGAAAAAAAATTTTTTTTTCATTAAATTTTAGAAATGTTATAAAAACAGTAAAAATGGTGTTTAGTGACTAACTTATTTTTGGAAATTATTATTCATTAATTTAGGAATTTATTTCAGTAAATGACAAGATCAATAAATAGAATAATAAATTTTAGTAGATTGACAGATCTAGTTATATCCGTAAAAAAAAAAGAGGCCAAAATCGCAGTTATTTTATAAATATTCCAGGTGGTGATTATTTTTAATTAAAACAATTGAAAGAGGATTGACAGGTGTTTAAGATGATTCCGTTGTTTCCAGTTTTTTTTTTAAGTACACACTGTATTTAAATTTGTGCATTTTGGTAGTAGAATGAAGAGTTATTTTGTAAACACAGTAACCATAAACAATTTTTTTTTTTAAAGGAAAACAGTATTACAATTTTGCGCAAGATATAAAGCACATCACGAGATCAAGCACATATTAAGAGTAACTTGCACTTTTGTGGTAAAATTGTTTGAAAAGGTGATATTTCCGTATTATTTAACACCCAGCTATAAAACTTCGTACCCCGTAATTTAATTTGAAGCTAACGAATCACGAGCGACGAAAAACAAAGAAAACGGAGAGAAACATTAAAATTTCAAAGTCTGTTCTGAAATGTCCATTTTTTTTTATGATGTATTTGGTCTAAATTAGCCGGAAATCTATTTTAACGAAATTCATTTATGAGAACTAAAGTATTAAAAAAAAAAAAGTAAACTAGTTAACTTCGTCTAACCCCAGAATTGGTAATAAAAATAGGCAGATCACCATGACGAAGTCACATAAATTTCGTCATGCTTCATCTTAGAATTAAAATCTCACTTTCCTTTAACGTTCGGGAATAATTGTTCAAAATTGAATAGTACATACAGACGCGTTATTGAACCGTTTCGATCAAGCACTATTACCGGGTGAAGCTCTCCAAAAATTCCGAAACTGCAGACAACGACAGGATGAACCTGTACAAGAATATTCTGAGCGATTACAAATAATTGCCGCTTCTACTTGGAAAAAAACCGGTGATCAAAGAAAAGATAGAATTTTGGCTGAACGCATTCAAGAAGAATGCTTATATCAATTTCTTAACGGACTATTACTAAATTTACAAGCAAAAGTTTATGCAGGTGATCCGATTTCATTTGAACAAGCAGTTAAAATCGCCATTAGAGAATCACAGATAGAAAGATTGCTGAAAAAAAATAACCGAAGTGATATGATTCGTAAACTGGACAATGATCCAGATGCTCGTGAAAATTTAAATAAAAAATCTAACGCAGTTGGGACATATAAGGAATTAAAATCAAACGATGAAAAATTGATTGCAAATACTTATTTTTCAACAAATCAGAAAAATAACGAGAAAAATGAAAACACTGCAAGAATGAATCTGCGACAACCGTATAATAGAAATTTAAATCAGTATCGACCAACTGGTTTTAGTTATGGCTTTGCTGCGAATATTTGCAAATATTGTCACAAGGCAAGAGGACATTACATTACATGCCCTAATATAGTTTGTTTTCAATGTGGCCAAAGAGGTCACATCAGGTCAAATTGTGCAAATCTGACTAATTATCGGCAGAATTTTTGGACGACACAAAGACGACCAAATAATAATAATAACTCGAGGGTTGGATTTTATCAAGCTGAGAAACCTCCTGTAAATATCCGGAACACTCGTAAAAATCCATTCACTAAGCCAGTGTTGGTCGAGCGAGAAAAGGACATCAGTCACACATTAAAGCCAAGTAATATCAATAACCATAAAACTATTTTTAAAATTAATTTAGGCTCCGAAAATTTAAATGCGTTTATGATTTTTACAGAATGTGGGAAACAGTTGCATGCAATTATAGATACCGGATCGGAAATATCACTTGTAAAAAGTCGAGTAATTTGTGAATTAAATTTAATAACAAAAGTATTTAAATCTGATACTGAATTAGTTGACGTACAAGGTAATGCAATAACTCAGTGTGGGTCGGTTGTAATGGTCTTAACAGATAAAATTAATTTAACATTTAATCATAAGTTCATTGTAGTCCAAGATAATATTCGATTTGGTGGTGATATACTAGTAGGTTTGGATTTTATGTCTAAACATTCGGCAAGTATTTGTTGGAAGCGTAAAATTTTTAAACTTTATGATATTTCATTTACTCTGCTCACGGAAGATGAGGTCAAGGTTGGATATTTAAAATTAGATTCTGAAATTGAGAAACAATGTCAATGTTCAGATTGTTTGTATAATAATTCAATAAGGATCAATAATCGCTATAAAAAAATTAAAGACATGATAAAGATGCCGTTAAGTGAACAAGAAGTTGGCCCAATAATGAAATTAGATGAAGATCTGCTCCAGATTAACAATGTACCTGAAGGAAAAATGTTAAGTTCCAACGTAAATGTTTTTAATTCTAGTGGCGAACACATTTTGAGTCCAGTGAAGGACTTAGTGTTACCCGAGAAAGGGGTTGTTTGCTCAAGGGAGCTAGTGTTACCCGAGAAAGGGGTTGTTGGTTGCTCAGTAAAGGAGCTAGTGTTACCCGAGAAAGGGGTTGTTTGCTCAAGGGAGCTAGTGTTACCCGAGAAAGGGGTTGTTGGTTGCTCAGTAAAGGAGCTAGTGTTACCCGAGAAAGGGGTTGTTTGCTCAAGGGAGCTAGTGTTACCCGATAAAGGGGTTGTTGGTTGCTCAGTAAAGGAGCTAGTGTTACCCGAGAAAGGGGTTGTTTGCTCAAGGGAGCTAGTGTTACCCGATCAAGGGGTTGTTGGTTGCTCAGTAAAGGAGCTAGTGTTACCCGAGAAAGGGGTTGTTGGTTGCTCAGTAAAGGAGCTAGTGTTACCCGAGAAAGGGGTTGTTGGTTGCTCAGTAAAGGAGCTAGTGTTACCCGAGAAAGGGGTTGTAGGCTCAATGAAGCCAGAGTTACCCGTGCAATGGGAAGGTGATGTTATTAATGATGTTGTTAAACTGCAGTTATTTAGTTCTAAGGAGCAGAAGTGGCGCGATAGTTCTGTGTCCTCGAGGACTGAAAAAAAGTTTTAGGTCAGTAAAGGAAACTGACAGTTGTTTAATACTTGACAGCAAGGTCAAGGAAATTGAGAACTCGAGTGAGCATGATTGTTATAGGTCAGTAACAAAAGATGCCATGAAGGCACAATCTGCTAAATGGTCTGGCCAACCGTGTCACCACTTTTTGTCAGAAAGACCGAGTATAGGTGTCAATAACTTGAAAACTAATGAAAAGGTTAAAAAGAAGTTATACAAAAAGGAGATTGTAAAAGAAAATAGACCCGACATGATCTTAGTCGCTGAGTTAGGAATGGATGATAAAATAAACAAAGGATATCCATTATATTTAACATCAAGAACAGTAATCCCTCCTAACTGTCGCAAATTATGTCAGGCCTTAGTCACTTATTGGGATCCGTTAAAGTTAATTATCGTAGAACCCTTATCACCAACTATTGAGTCGTTATTTTGGCTGGCAAGAAGTTGTAACAGAGCAGAAAAAGAGATTGTGATTTTATTAGTGAATGTGTTGCCACATCCAATAGAATTAGAAAAAGGAACTAAAATTGGAACTTATTCATTTATAAGAAGAATACAAGAGAATAAAAATGGAGATGATTTAATAACAAAAGAAATCTCTGAAGAAGAAATTCAGGAATTATTGGATATTCTAAGGTACCCCAAGGAAGATAAAGAAATCGCAGAACCATTGGAACAATTGATTAGAGAGTTTGTTGACATATTTAAAACACCAAGCCAACCTTTAAAATGCACTAATAAAGTTCAGCATAGGATTATCACGGAAGATGTTCCACCCATCAGTAAACGTCCATATAGAGTACCTTATCATCGTCATGAGATCTTAGATAAGGAAATACAAACATTGTTAGATAATAACATAATAGAAGAAAGTACTTCACCATGGTCTTTTCCAGTCTTGCTAGTAGAAAAAAAAAGACATCCAGGAGAAGAGCCTGAATTCCGATTGTGTATTGATTATAGAGAACTTAATAAGATTACTAAACCTGATTATTTTCCGTTACCAGTCATAACCGAAACAATTGACCAACTTAGTGGATCAAGCTTATTTTCTGTATTGGACTTAGCAATGGGCTTCTTTCAAATACCCTTATATACCAAATTTACTGAAACAAATGCATAAAGCACTCACAGAAGCTGCTAAAAATTTAGAAGGATCCATAAATCAACGTTGCGAAAAATACAATAAAAATGTAATTACGAAAGAGTATCAGCTAGGAGATAAGGTATGGCTATATACACCATCTATAAAAGGAAAGAAATTAGCTACAAAATTTGTACCAAAATGGACTGGACCCTACAGAATTGTTTCAAGAACTGGACCAGTAAATTATAGAATCATCGAAATTGGTTCTGCTAATGAACAATTAGTTCATGCAGCGCGATTAAAACCTTGGAAAATAAGAACAGCAGAATCTGATGACCAACTAGAGAATGAAGAAACTGAAGATATTCAATTAAAACTGGATTATTCTGATGAAAGTGATGATCAAGAAGAACTTGATTGGATCGAAGGGCCAATTGATGTAAATCAACTATACGAAACTGCAAATCCAAATACACTAACGGTATCCACAGAAAATGGTGAAAATCTAGAATTAAAAGACCCGTTATATGTCTCATTAGATGACATCGTTATAAGCGACGAACAAAATGTAAAAGTCAAACAAGAAAATGATATTCAAAAAGAAATAAGTTCTGCTGAATCAGAAGCTTCTGATATGAGTTCAGACAGCTTAAACTCTGAAACAGAGGAGTTAAATGAACCAACCTCATCTATCGTGCGTAGTCCACCGCGTCATGCTTATCATACAAGGAGCAAAGGACAAGCTCCCGAGTATCCGTGGGTATTACATAAACATATATAAAGAAAGTTCTAAGTTAAACGTATCAAATACAGATTTGGCAAGTTTAGAACTCTATAATTACTTTTAATCCAAGATAGTAGTTACGTGGTCTTATTATTTTTTAGGAACCATCCAAAAACGAAGTGATGATACTGACTACAAAGAGGCGTAAATATATATATCTTATTACTGCATATCACGGAGATTAAAACACTTGCCCCTGCTGGCATAGTCTTACTTTTCAATTATTAATCTTTTTTTAAAAGAGGACTCTCACTAACAATAGATAGTAGGATTTTGATTTTAGTATAAGGCTTTTACTAACACACATTGGGAATGAGTGTTATAGATCGACATATTATCGAGTGGGTAGAGTCAAGAGTCAACTCTTGAGCATGGGAATGATGTTATCCGAAGACCCACATGCCAGCGAGCTTAAAGTCCGAAACAAAGAACTTAGCTGAAGGACCATCAACTTTTAAGAATTTTGAGAATCGATTGAGGTTACTGCAAAATTATCTCAATCTGGACAGTTAATGAAAAGGAGTCCTTGGTGACACGACTCGATTGTGCTGGCAAACATGAAAATTGGAATCCTCCCTCGATCTGGTCGAATCTACATTCCCTATGTGAAGACGCCTTTCCATCTATGTTTCAAGACGGATAGAAGAAAGATTATAGTAGTTAGGAATTTTAGGTAAGGAAGTTGCCTGGTCAGAAATCAAATGTATGCTAATTAAAGCATAGCATTTGCTTCCCTAGCAGGGAGGAGATGTAACGGGCGATAAATTTACTTATTTTTGGAGATGTTGGTATGAATCAGAACAATCGTCATTGTCGTAAAAATCAAGGTTGTTCTTGTGAAACTTGGATTTTATGATTTCACACCATTCTAATCAAGGTTTATAATTTCACAGTTAAATATTGGCGCCGTTTGGCTGGACACGATGTCTTTGTCCAGTTTTATAATTTCATGGTTTAAATTTGTTAATTTTAACAAAAAGCACATTTTGCCACTAAAAATCTTCATATTACAGTTAATTAAGCCTAATTTGGTGGAAACACAAATACTTTTACGACTCCCCAAATAAACTGGTAACTTGTAAACAATTTTGCGAAAACAACTCCTTTGGAGGGGTCTTTACTTATAAAAGATCGAAGGATCCAAAAAAGACCAGAGTCCTCTAGCCAGTTGCCTGTTTAGTGCGTGTTTGTGTTGTGACACAAAGGGGTAAGTGTTAAAATCTCCAAAAATGTGCACGATTTCATAAAAAGTTCAAAGTTTTGTTTTTATTAATATTTTTAAAGTTCAATTTAATTTTGATAATAAATCGCCCTTTGTATTCTCGATTGGATAACGTTTTGAGATTTAGATCTATTTTTAAAGATTAATTTGCATTGAAATTATTAGTTAAACAGTTATATTGTTTGATGAACGCTGACCACGCAACTACTATAATGTTCCTTACCAAATTTTAGAGTTGTTACAAATTTTTGAGTTGTTACCAAATTTTTGAGTTGTTACAAATGTTTGAGTTGTTACCAAATTTTGAGTTATGGTACCAATTTTAAGTTTTGTTATATTTTGTTTTAGATTTTTTTTAAATATTTGTTTTATTATGCTTTCAAAGATTTAGTTTCAAAGTTATAAAGTTTTCTTGAATTTATTTAAAAATGTTTTAATACTGAAGTTCATTTTCTGATAATTATATTTGCATATTAAACTACACTACAATTTATTGTTATACCAAATTATTCTCATATGACTAAATCTCTTTTGTACATACTCATTTCTAAATTAAATATAATTATTCATTTAAGCAAAATGCATATACTTGAAGTAGTCCCTTTGTCCAGTCACTAGAATGTGTTACCATCATCACGAACCAGCCTACGAACAAATAAATAATATTTTCACTATATGTCGGGCACAAGGTCCACGACAAGAGTTTTACAGTTTTATATATAATAAATTAACAAAAGTTAATTTAATGAAAATCTCCCAAGCCCGTCACACCGCCCTCCTGCAGAGGGGAATGAGCAGAATACCCCCTGTTTTGTTGCCAATGGTTCGAGCGTGTCTGGCTTTCAGCTACATACCGAATGCATGGCGAAAAGGAAAGGTTATCTTTATACCTAAGCCAGGACGACAAGATTACACTTTGGCTAAATACTACAGACCAATTAACTTAACCTCATTCTTGCTGAAAACGCTAGAAAGACTAAGTGAAAAAGGGATTCGGGAGACCGCTTTGAGCAAGCAACCTCCACCTTAGGAATGTTATTGGATATTGAAGGAGCGTTCGATAAATCGACCTTCAAAAGCATAGGCCTAGCCCTACAAGAGCACGACGTGAATCCCACCCTGAGGAGTTGGGTGGCCAGTATGCTGAGGAATAGGGAAGTATTGATTAATGTAGGTGGCACTGAGGTCGAGACTGTTGTAGACAGGAGATGTCCCCAGGGAAGAATACTCTCTCCTGTACTGTGGGATGATACGACGCGTCAATGATCTTGGCTACCACACAATTGAATACGCAGATGATCTAGTAATTTTGCTAACAGGAAAAAACGCAGATACATTATGTGAAATTATGCAAGCTACAGTAACAATAGTCGAGGAATGGTGCGCAGGCATACCCTGTCCGTTAATGGAGAGAAGACGAAATTAATTCTGTTTACTAGGAAAAAGAAAATTGGCACACTACAGATGCCAAAAATATTTAATACAACGCTTCAACTTTTGGACGAAGGGAAATACCTGGGAGTTGTATTGGACTGGCGACTGAATTGGAAGAAGCATGTAGATGATAAAGTGGAAAAAGCACACTCGGCTCTTTGGCAATGTCGTAGGGTGGTGGGAAGATCATGGATTTTAAACCCCAAGATCGCCCTCTGGATCTACACGGCAATAGTCAGGCTGTGCTACAGAGTTTTAGTTTGGTGGCCCAGACCCAGACAAAAAACAACAGCTCTGCAACTTGAGCACGTTCAGAGAATAGTGTGTCTCAGTGTTACAGGAGCAATGAGGAAATCTCTAAGACTTCACTCTCCAGGAGTATGGAACAAGCAAGGCCGCTTAACGAAGCACACTCGTATCTTGACGGAGGGGTTCAACAGAATACCCTTGTTAAGGATGAATTGTGACGGAATGGGCACAAAATTAATATATGAGAAGACATACAGAATATTCATGAACGATATTTCAGAAGGAAGAGCCGACATCGACATCTATGTCGATGGTACCAAAACAGATAATAGTTCAGGAGTCGGCAAACAGAACTGATGGGAATAATGCTGGGAGCTAGAATTATTGCTGAACGAGAAATCGGCAACAAATCAATACGCATACTTAGCAAGTATGCACTACTAACCCTGAACAGCTGCATAGTTCGATCCGCGCTGGTTTGGAAGTGCAGACAAACCATAAAGTATGTAACGCAGAGAAACAGTGTAGAACTTTGTTGGATCAAAGGACACAGTGGTAACGAACGAAACGAGAGGGCAGATGAGATGGCGAAGCGAGCCGTGCACATGCCCGCCTGGGAACCCAAATCGGTAATCACTAGAGAGCGGATTTCTTTTTTTTTAATAATAATGAAAAAACTTTCAGAGTTTAAAAAATATATTTGTAGTCACTGCTACACGTGTTTCGGTACACAGTACCGTCTTCAGGCAGAAGAGAAACACGTATCAGCCTCATCAATACAAACAAAAAAATACAAAAAGAGCGGATTTCTGTCGGGCTAGGCAAGGCCAAACTCGGTACGGCTCGTACGGGATGGGAATTCATTGCAGTTACGAGCTGCACATCGTTTATTTGCGATTAGAATAACGCTGCTTCATTGCACTTTGCTGTTAATTCTCGTTCTCATTTACTTAGACGTTTGATTAATAAATCGTTAATTGTATTAATGGAATAAGTAACGATTAAATTCAGTGATTATGTATCACCCGCTACTGAGTCCCGGCGATCCAGCGCGTCCCCACCTATAATCGTGACGTAGCCCGACAGAAATCCGCTGTCTAGTAATCACGCCTTCGGTCGCCCTCTCGACGAACCCGTAAAGCAATATACCCATAGACGTCATGAGCAGATATGGACGACGTTGAACAGCTGTCGGCAGAGTAGAGCTTGTATACGACACTAGACCGTAAGTTGACGAAATTTTATCTCTCACTTTCAAGGGACAAATTGCGCAAACTGGTAGGATTCCTCACGGGACATTACCAGTTTAACAAAGACCTGCATACGATGGGAATGGTAACAGACCCAATCTGTTGTGGATGCAATGAAGAAAAGGAAACAGCTGAGCACATTCTTTGTGAATGTCCAGCGTTAGCCTCCTACAGGAAATCCATACTAGGGGGCATCTAGCCTAGTATGGAAAAAAATCAGGGAGTTCCCGCCCTCGCATTACTCAAGCAGTTGGGTGGCTTGATGAGTAGAGGAGCGGGAAAACACCCAGATCCACATTATTCGCCTTTTCTAACTCTTTAATCGCAATGAGAATCTGACACAAAGTTTGCAGATAAAGTACCAACTAATAAATTTGCTGTATATCTACCGTATACATCTGTTGTTTTGTCAACAACAAAGTAAATACAGTTATTTTGCAAATGTATCTTAATTTTGGCAACTGTTTCGGTATAACATTTATTTACAGGTTGTTTCCCTTTCGTCTGGAATAGTCCTTTTATAGTACTTTTTCAAAAACGAATTAAATATAGGATTACTTAAGTTATTTAATGGAATATTCGAAGCAAGCATGGCCTGACATAAAACGAACTTTTTCCTTTTCATTTTTGGCTGTATTAGCAGATAAGTTTCTCGTACTAATGGTGGAGTTTCTTTTTTCACAATTTTTTTTGTGAAGAGACGTTCTGCAGTGTCTGTCTATAAGATTTTTCTTTGTGCTTGAAATCTATAAAAAAAAATGAAAACAAATAATTATTAATGGAAAAGATACCTATTATTGACATTTAATAATATGCAAAACATATTTTTTTATTTGGTTCTCTTGGACTTTACTCTAAGGAGTGAAAATATATTTTAAAAAACTTACTGCTTCGCCGCAAGGTTTGCAAAAAACATCATCTCCCTCTAGAACCAACTTTGAGTAGGCCCGAATCCACGATGATAGTTTGCAAGACATTTTTTTAATTATTCGTTAAATACATTTGCAGAACTATCTATATATACAACATTCGGCTTAGAGGCAGTTAAATAAAGAATTCCAGTAATACGCCTAATTGGGGGTGCCCATAAATGAAGTCTTGGAAAAACCCCTTCGCATTACTAGAAAAGGTCGGTACCCTGCATACTGCCAATAACCAACTGTATTAAAATTAAGATTTTCACCAATTACCACGAAAAATGCAGCAAAAATTTTATAATATTCATAAAACTGCATTTTGCTATAATCCGAACCTTATTTATGACACAACTTTAAAATAAAAAATTGCGGATCAGAATCATTTATATTTACATTTAATTCACACTTTAAGAAACTACAATGCAGATAATGAACAATACATTTATTTAAAAATGCGTAATAGTAACAAAAATATAGTCATAAACAAGTATTAATTTTGAAAATGAAACCGCTTGCTTGTTATTGAAAGTCCAATACTTATATACAATACAGTACAAAATCAGGAACGTTATAACTTAAAAAAAGTTCTGTTAAAAACAAAAGTACTCCCAGATCATCTTCATGAGATGTATAGTTACATTACAATAATTTCCCGCGAAAAATGTAGTGATGGATACTATAAAAATTCAAACTTCATAGTAATTTAGTAAAATCTGGTGAACGTTTCTCATAAACTACGTGAAAGCACCGCCTTGATGTAGCTTACGCTTACAGTATGACACAAAAATATCAATACATTTCAGAAAATTATTATATAATACTATACACTATAAACTGTTTCCAGACGTAGAACCAAATCACTACTTGTTACTGGCTAACTTTTTTTGTAATTCTTCGAGATTATCTCGTTGAAGCTTAACTGTTACAGTCATCATTCTTTTAACATCAACTGTCGGCTGTTCCTTCAAGTCATAAACTAAACTGTTATTTTTGCTCCTCCGCTTCCGGGTTTCTTTAACTTGCTTTGTGTTATTACCAGACTCTGAGTCACCTAAATTCGATGTTTCGCTTAAATCAATAGTGGCAGTTATTTCTTTTTCAACTACTTTTTCTGTTACTTGGGGCGTTTCAGCCAGAGGGTCTGTCGGGGTATCAGCTAGAGGGTCAACTGCAGCGCCACCTAACGGATCACTTTCCTTATTTAAATTTCCGACAACATCAGGAGACCCGTTGCAAATAACTTGCTCCGGTTGACTGACTTGATTTTCACTTTGTGGTTTCGGTGGTGCGGGAGTATCATCAGGAATTGTTATACATTCAGATGGCACATTCTGCAACTCCTTCACCGATTTTACTTTTAGATACCCCTTAGGTCGCTCGGTACTGACGACCGCCTTGGAGTTATTAACTGTCGTCATAGGAGAGCTCAATTTATTCGCACCTATCTTGGAATCTTTGGCTAGTGGTGGGATAGAGGAAGTTGATGGCATAGGCATGGTTGCTGGAGCACTCACAAAAATAACGTCGTCGTCGCTGTTGAAGGCCTCGCTCTTCTTTGATGGTAACCGAACGGTTTTAATACCCGCGATGAATTCGGTTCGGAGGTTTTTCCGAATTTGTATCAAGGAATTAATCGAACTGCTTAAAATTTCCTGGAGTTTGTTGTGAACAACGGCTAGTTCTTCGACGCTGGCCGCTTGAGACTGTGCTTTGTTGAGTTGCGTCAAAGTGTATGATAAATGTGAGTTTACGCGTGCTGCTGCTCTTACTGTCTTCTCGAACCACTCGTGTTTCATCATTGAGGAGTTATTTACGTTTCTGTTTTGTAAAGCGGAACCTAGTATTCTATTCGTAGTGGGTACTAGCGGGGGCAGAGGTTGTGCACTTATTCGAACTAAAGTAGGTGGTTGAAGAACTGGAAAAAAAAGATCGTGATTAAATGGTTATATAACTTTTTAATATTATAAATATAGGGTTGTTTCTACGTCCTGAGCGTAAGCTAAGATTTTAGATTTTTCGGAAAAAAATTAAAACTGTATAACAACATTTTGTAATTAAAATTTAAAACTGCACAACCGAATATTCTGAAATCTTGCAAACGTTTTAAGTTTATCGAAGCAATGGTAAACCGTTAATCAAAATTTATTCGTTTAGTCGCTGCCAAAAAATTAATGATGTCATCTCAAAATATTGCGCAATAAATCGTCTCCAAAATATGCAAAATATTATGACTGCATACTTGTGCTTTATCAATGCACTCACAGTTTTTAGAATTACTCATACAGGGTGACCCAAAAAATTAATGAATTTATTATATCGATTAAACAAGAACAGTAATGTTTTTATTAGTACTACATTGCACAAGTCACTTGAAACAAACACGTTTATATTTACTTTAATATTATGTACAGATCTTTTTAACTAATAAGAGTTATGATAAAAAAGTAAAATTTGCAAAATCAAATCTTATAGTTTTCTTGGAAAAATCTAGATTTATTTACCTTTAACCAATTTTTTCATTTCAGAATTTTTCGTTTTTTCTTTTTCTTTCATTTTTCAAGTTTTCCATTTTTCAATGTTTTGGTTTCATAATTTTTCAATTTTTCAGTTTCCCAATTTTTAATTTTTCGATTTTATATTATAATTTTTCGTTTTTTTTGATTTCCTTTATTTTTTCAATGTTTCTTTCGATGTTATAATTTTTTTGTTCATTTAATTTTTCGTATTTTCAATATTACAATACGTATTTCGTTTTTTCGATTTTAATGTGTCTCAATTTTTATTCTTTTGATTTTTGAATTTCTCGTTTGTTTAATTTTTTAACACCTTTTCTTTTTTTTCATTTTTGATCATTCAATTTCATAACTTTGCAATTTTTCCCATTTTTTTTATTCGAAAAGTTGAAAGATCAAAAACTGAAGAAACAAAAAATTGAATAAAACATTGAAAAACTAAAAATCGAGAAAATTAAAAATCGCAAAAATTACTGAATCGAAAAATTGCAATGAAGAAAAAACGAATCAAATCGAAAAATCGGCAAACTTAAAAATTGTAAAATCGAAAAATTATAAAATCGTCAAAATTGTAAGAAAATGGAAAAATTGTAAAATCGTAAAATGGAAAAAGTGAAAAATGTTTAAAATGGTATTTATTATTATACCTATATTTAAAATGAAAACTTCTAAAATTGCAAAATAAAAATTGAAGAAACGAAAAACTGAAAGAACATTTTATTTATTACATGTTTATTGTCACATCAACTGAAAAACTGAAAAATTTTAAAAATAAAGACAACAAAAAACCCAACCGAAAAACTGAATAAATTGAAAAAACAGAAAATCGTAAAATCGGAAAATTGTAAACATAAAAAAAAACACGAAAAATTGCAAAGTTGAATAAATGAGACAATTCTAAAATCGTGAAATTGAAAAACTGAAATATTTTAAGAAATAATAAATGTTATAATAAAATAAAATATTTTATTATTACATATTTAAAATGAAAATTAGAAAACTTGCAAACAAAAATCGAAAAACCCAAAAAATTAAAATCGAAAAATTGCCAAATCCAAAAAACTGAAAAATTTCACGTTGAAATAAATATAAATTACAAAATCAGAACATTGAAAAACCGAAAAATGAAGACATGAAAAACCGAAAACTTTAAAAATGAAAACTCGAAGTTGCATACCGTAAAAATGAAGAAACAAAAAAAAAAATCAAAAATTGCAAAATTGCAGTTCGAAAAATTGATGAAATGAAAAATCGAAAAAGTTGAAATTGGAATAACCAAAAATTTAAAAAAATTGAAAAAATCGAAAATTTGTTAAAATAAAGAAAATAAAAACCGACACGAAAAATTGCAAAACGAAAATTTAAAGAAATGAAAAGTTAAAAATTGAAAACTCGACAGATTTTAAATCGAAAAATTGCAAAATCTCAAGAATTCAGGAAAAAAATTAACACTGCAAACAGTGCAAATCAAAAATTGAAAAGACGAAAAATTGCAAATCAAAAATTGAAAAGACGAAAAATTGAAAAATTGAAAAAATAAAGAAAATAAAAGAGGGAAACGAAAAATTGAAAATCGAAAAACTGAAAAATTTAAAAATGAAAACTCGAAGAGCTCCATATCGAAAGCAGGGATGTTGCGGATGCAGATTTTTCAACATCCGCGGATGCGGATTTTTGGAGGCTCACATCCGCGGAAGCGGATCTCAAGTTTTTTTTTAAGAAAGTTAGTATATGTACAGAAATCAGTAAAAAAAATGGGAGTTTTTATTATATTTATTTCATAAACAAATTTTTAGTACGAAAATTTAAAAATCGTTGAATTATATTTAATAAAAAGTAATATTGCGGCCTTTTCAGGTTCGAGTCTATTTCTCAGAGGTTCATAAATTAATCCTGCACTACTAAATAGGTCCTCACTGGGAACACTTGCTGGTGGAGGCGATAAAAATCTGCGTGCTATTCCAGATAAAATTTTTAATTCGGTACGATTAACGCTCCACCATTTAAGTGGATTTTCATTTATATTCAGCCTTGCTTTATTTCGATACGAAAACAATTCCTTCTTGAGGACAGCATCAGGGGAACCATTTTCTGAAATTTCTTGACTCTCATCTTCACTTGACGAATCTAGCATCATGGCAAGATCGTTTTTCAAGCATGGCTCTCTGGCTGTACCGGATGTTCCAGGTTGTTCCGTATCTTTCACGAGGGAATCTCCCATTTTCATTTTTTTCGCTGCTTTGAAATTTGGAGTTATTTGAGGGTTTGAGACGTCATTCTCTATGTTTGTCCTAATCTTCAAAATATCGTCCTTAATATTTTCCTCGGTCACTGGTGTAAAAAACTTGTGCTTATAGCGCGGGTCTAAGTACGTGGCTATGACATATAAATTGTTCTCTTCCAACAAAGAAAATTTTGCTGAAACTTCAGTTTTCAGAGTCGTGACAGCCACCCGAATTGGATCAGAATCCTCTGGTCTTGTTAAATAATCATCAAGTTTTTTTCCAAGCACTTTAATTATTGGAATCACAGATGATATAAGTGTATGAGAGTTACTTAGTTCCCGTGTGGCTTCTTCAAAAGGTTTCAATAGCTCAACACAACATTCAATAATTTTCCACTCTTCTGGCAAAATAGGGTCAATTTCACTGTCATTGGTATAAAGACTCAATGCATCTTTTACCTTTAAAAAACGCTCAAACATGTAAAACGTACTGTTCCATTGCGTTACACAATCCTGAAACACTCTGAGATGCGGTTGATTCAGTCTGTCCTGGATTTTTTGCAGTTGTTTTTGAGCAATGGTGGAATGGTTAAAGTGAGTCGAAATTTTCTTACATTTTTGTTTGACGACTGTTATGTTTTCCTGTGATTGTAAACCACTTCGAATAGCGAGTTGCATCTTGTGAACTGCACAATCCAAATCATACAATACTGCTAATCGCATAGCTCTTTTCATATTGGAGCCTTCGTCACGAATAATGCAGTGCACTTGTTCTTTTGAAATATTCCATTCAGTAAGCATCGTGTCAAATTTTTCTGCAATTATGTCACCTAGGTGACGGTCGTCGAAGGTTTCGCATTTCAATATAATCAATGATCGATCAAAATTTTCTGCGATTCCATGACAAGTCAGGCTAAGCAAAGATGCATTAGAGCTTGGATTCGACCAAATATTAGAAGTAAACGCCATGTAATCAAATTTTTCGATTCATTCTTTCACTTTGTTAGCAACTTTGCCATACAGTTCCGTGCACACAAAGTCAGTAAAAAAATTGCGCCCTCTTAAATTATACCTTGGTGATAATTCTTGTATCAGTCTGCGAAAACCGAGTCCCTCTACAAAATTAAACGGTAAATTTTGAAGTGCAATCATTTCTCCGATGAGTTTGTCAATTTTTTTCGAATTTGAATTGTTAGTATCCCACTTTTTTTCTTTTTGAAGTGCTTCCTCTATCGAAAGTTGTTTTTTTGCTTCTTGTAGTGGAGTGAGGATTTTATCTAAAAATAAATACACACATAAATTATAACTTGTTATGGAAATTAACAAAAACAAACGGATGCAAAATAGATTTTAAATAACGAAACTTTTATTGCATCAACTTTTTTGTATTAAATACAAAATAAACCAACTTTGGGCTTATCTGCTATTAACATTTCTGTTAATCTGATAAGAATAGTATACTTTTAAGTAATTAATAAAAGCAAAATGCTTTATTAAGGCTAATAAATAAACACTGTTGATAGTAAAACTTACGTGCATCAGCTTTCATCTTCTGCATTTGTTTTTCGTTATTCGAACTTTCGAACAAACTAAACTGTTCTGGGTGCATGCATTTCAGATGATTTTTCAAAGACGAAGTGGTACGACCCTTGCGAGAACATGTTTTATTACATATTATACACTGAGCTTTATTTCGATCATCATCTGGTTTAAAATAAGTCCAAATCTCACTTTGCATCGGTGGTGCCATTGTAGATTCACTTGTCCAATAACATATAAAAACAAAACGTTCACAATTCGCGCAACCCCGACTAAACACGTTTTGACGTGCGAAACGCAACACCGAAAGTAGAATTCTTGTCTCCCTATTGGTCAATGCATCACGAGTGCACGCTATGCGTCACTCGTCGGCTCCAACTAATTTCTTTCTTGTCGCGACTTGCACCACATTTACATCCGCATCCGCATGAGTTCCGTATTGATTATTGCGGATGCGGATGTCCACTTCGTCTTTGAAAAATCATCTGAAATCCATGCACCCAGAACAGTTTAGTTTGTTCGACAGTTCGAATAACGAAAAACAAATGCAGAAGATGAAAGCTGATGCACGTAAGTTTTACTATCAACAGTGTTTATTTATTAGCCTTAATAATGCATTTTGCTTTTATTAATTACTTA